CCCCAAAACCCCAAAACCCCAAAACCCCAAAACCCCAAACTTGTCCAGATAAATTGAAAATAAAATCTTATAATAATAAATGGAAAGTGCAGCTCAGATGGATAAGGAAAGAACCTCCAAGATTGCCAGGTAATTGGGAGCTTAATAAGAGTGGCTATTGACATGGAAACTTCGGATTTAATGATGTGGCATATTTAGGAGAGATAGAACAGTCCTTATCTCATAATTTTACTTTGTTTATAAACTTGTTTATTAAGACATATCAAGAAGAATTCATATACTAGTCAAAGTTTCCTGGCAGTATAAAATTTGCTTTCTTTTCTGTTCGATTAGATCAAAACTCTTCATATTATGGCTGGAATGTAAGAACGATTGCATTCAACAGTTTGGTAAATATCCTGAGTTAAAATTATTTTACACCCTGAAGGGAACTAAAATTTCTTAGCTGAAATCCAACTATTGGTTTTTCATAGATTAGGACTCTTGAAAACTGCAATTTAGTATTCTTCTTTAACCGAATGAATACTTTCCTTTGGTTCAACTTCAACTTTTCCTGATGGATTCTGATATAAATCCAAATTTTTCGCTCAATTTAAATTATCTAGACTAGAGAAGTCTATCCTAGCTATGAATAAAAAGCAAGATTATGAAAGATGCTTCGATGTTCATGATAATATTCCTGCACAACGAATGGATGCTAAGAAATTTGGTCCAAACAACCAAAATGGGATAAAAGGCAATGAATTGGGTTTAGATTTTAGTCATATTAAAGATAAGAAATTTGCACAAAAACTAATGCTTTGAAAATTGTTCGATACAGATACACTCAGATTATATAACATTAGCATGAAGAATAAGAAAGTTTTAGAATTTTGAGCTCTCTCATTTCCAGATAAAGTTGATATACTTTATATCTCTCCTTTATTTCAAGCAAAGCAGAAAAATGGTTATACTTACTTCAACTTTTTAATCAGAAATAGCTATAAAGTAGTGTGAATGGTATTTCTTATCTGATTCACACTGAACATCTCCCAACTGAAGCGATTGGTGGCAGCTTATAAACATCTAAATATACTAGGATTTAATTCTTGCAAGTTATCAATTTCGAGTGTACCGGATTTATCAAAAGCATTAATAAATTGCAAGCTTAAGACCCTGTCTTGAGAAAACTCAACATTCTCTAGTATTAATAACTGTGCAAACAGGCTAGATGGATTCAAAAACCTTACACAAGTATTGGCAGGCTCATCAGATTTAAGGTCAAGCCTTAAGATAGTTTATATCAAAGGATGTGGCATAATACGAAAGGAAGCTCAAGAAATTTTCGAAGACAATCAACTTGGAGAAGTGAAGATACTTGATGAATTTGAAGAACTTGGAGAGTATGATGAATTAGAACACCATGATGAATTAGAACATCATGATGAATTAGAAGACTATGATGGATTTTTCTCTTTTAATCAATTTGACTAACATTATATGGGGTTTTGGGGTTTTGGGGTTTTGGGGTTTTGGGG